ACCTGACACGTGTATCTAGCCTGTAAAAATGAAAAATCGCTACATTGTAGCAATTTCACTGAGATATGGGCCCTGAAAATCATGTAATTTTAGCAAAAAATGAAGAAATAACCTGCAATTTTGACGGAATTTCAGAGGGCTTTCTTTCATTCCAGACCCTCCACGGGCCTCTTATGACCATTCTTATACTCACAGAATGGTTGAAAGTGATTTCAAATCATTGTTTGCCCTACGCAGAACGAAAAAAATCGATTCTGTTCTCAAAATCTGCTAGAATATTGGTCTCTGGCCAACTAGCAGACAATTTTAGGCCTCATATTAAGGTATGAGTACCGTAATCCAACACCAAATTCGAAAATTCATAACAATACTTTGCACATATGGCGTTCGTGACCAACTATAAAACGCTTACCCCCCATAGTGTTATATATCAAAATGTACCTGTTCATATAGGGGTTCGATTGATCTACATCAAATTATAGGGAGTCAGGTTACTTTTTGAGATATCAGCGTCCATTTATTGTGACTCGCGTTTGCTACCACTTCCTCAATTCTGATATGATGGGCAAACGCGTAATAAACATGCTCACGTCGGAACTATTTTTGACCTACATCGCTATTTTCGTAATTCAAATGAAAGTTGAACTCCTCCTCTTTATTTTGATACCAAATAGTGGCATACTAGGTACCCTTGAAGCCAACTATGGCGTTATTTAGAACAAAACCACAAGTTTTTAAATGGACTATATAGGGGTCATACCTTTTGGCGGATGGATATGGAACCTCATACCATAATGGGCGACCAAGTGAGCGAATTTTCAGCGGAACTATACACTGTTGGCATGAGTATCCATGCAATTTTAACAATATGTGTTATGACTTCATAACAATGGAATGAAAGAGTTTCATTTATTGGGCTGTTTTACACATACCAAGGTGAAAAAATTGGCATAATACAGACTGAGAGTCATATCGTCCTATCAAAATAATAATGTCCCAACTCACATTTTTGTGAAACTGATAAATCAATTTTTGAAAGCTTAGACATCTGTAACTTCAATAGTATCCATCTGTCATGTATGAAATTTTTACATTATTTTTGTCCTAAATATTTGTAAATACAATAAACATTTCATGAATTTCAAGATTTTCTAAAACAGTTTTTGAGCATATTAGAAATGGAAATAGGACAATTCAATTTCCTATTTTTCATAACATCAAAAGATTAAAGGTGATCTATGTCCATTTCGCTATGTATTTTCAATGGACACGAATTTGTCTATTCATTTTTACAAAAATATATTCAAATCTCAGTTTAAAATTATATTATTTCCAGGTCACATGATGTAATTTAAACAATTTGATTGGTTAACATGGTGCATAGGACAAAGTTAAATTGTATTTTTGAAATTTTTATCTAGTTAGGACAATTTGACACTGAAGTAGGCTATTGATAGAGGTAAGATAATCGCACAGAAAGAATGAGGATGATTTAAATAGGGGAAATCTGTGAAAATCTCAATTTTCCAAAAATGTGAGTTGGAACATTATTATTCTCATAGGGACTCTCACAGAAGAATTATCAAAGATAATCAAGAATGACGATCTTGCACCTGTACTGATACAAGAACCTTCATTTCTGTCATTGTGAGACATCTGGTATATTATACCTTCTAGTAATAAAACAAAAATAGTTGTCTGATTATGGAAATCACTTCCAGTATCAATACATCATATTAGTCAACTCTACTCCGAAATTATGGGAAGGAGTGTACAAGTTATATTGGTGGCCTTTATTTCATCTTGTGAAGAAACCTATATAATTAGTCTAAGAGGGCCATTTATCTTTCATGTCTAATGATACACTTTCCATAAGTAATAGCAAATAACATTTATGATGACGTCATTAGGACCTTGTTGTCTAGATCTGCTAATGAATGTCAGAAGGCATATATAGGAAATCATTTATCCAAGGGACTTTGGTCAGTAAAGCCATTTTCAAGTACTATTTAAGATGCTATGATATAAACTACATCGTTCGCGTAAAACAAATATCTATAAATTATTTCATCCCATGAATACTATCATACATTTATCTAATGGACATTGCTATGCAAATAATAACTATCATTACCACATAAAAAGTAATATAAGTTACGGGAAATGGGAGTCTACACTTATTGCCTTTGGTGTTTTCCAAAGCAGATACTTACATTTTCATGAACTGAAAACTAAAAGAAATGGGGTTAAGAGTTATTTAATTAGTTTGGGCATATAAAAAGCCCCAAACGCATTGGAGGTTGTCAAGGGTAAAGTGGAGGGAGAAACCAAAATTGTATGCTTACTCACACTTTTAAAGCGATAAAAAGTACGTTTAATACGTTGACGATTCTTGTTAGTTATTATATTGGTATGATAGCACAATATAGTTTTGGTATGCACTACTTAAATCGCATCCAACTAAAATGATGTTATATTCAATCGTATCCGATAGTTTTTATTGTTTTCCACAAGTTAGTTTTGAATCACAGTGCCAAAAAGATTAGACAAGCTTACAGTATGTAACTACAATGTATATTACCGCCAAAACATAGTTCCGAGCATGTATTATGTGCTTATTCAAATGATTTTAATGTTTTTGTGCATCAACTATACAACTGTTCGGTTTGACTTGGAACGGAAAAACAAATCCATACGATTAACAAGATATCCTATGATTTTCTCAATCAGGCTGTCATTTTATCCATTCCAGATGAAATGACACCAATCAAATTCATAGGATATCCTCTATATATATTTGATCCAAAACAAGTCAACACCATTTTTTTAAATTCGGTGATAAGAGGGAATATTTATAGAACAAACTGGATAACTTTGGTGTTCGATCGTAAATGCTACCATTTAGATCACTACTGATGCAGAGAAGCATGTTTTATTTGTAGATTATTTTACATCGGGCATTAATCATGTTTAGGCAAAGTATACTGTCAACGGAGGTCAGAAGCTATTACACAGAAAATCATTTGTCAATTATCAAAAGGACCTTGGACAATAAAACCACTTTCGCTCGCTATATTAAGATATATTGAACGAAATACAGAAATACACCTCTCCTCTTAATGAAAATTATGTGTCATATCATTTCGATAGTCGTAATTTAATTTGAAAAGACCTTGGTCAATTGAGGTTATGCTTAATAGCTTCTAAATCTCGTTGAAGTTTCCAATGAAAATTTAGGAGATCTACATTTTTAACCATCTAAACCAACATTTTCTTCTATTTGATGGCATTCTATTTGAATTCTGTGGGTAATGCTCTACTAAAACATCTTTGATTTGTGCAATTATCTCACCTTATTCAAACCAAAGTATTTTGGGGTTTGGCTAAATCTTCTGATTTTCATCAAGATACAGTCATAGACAATGACCTAAGCACAGCAGCAGAAAAGTAACGAGAAAACAGCAACTCCACAGAGTAGCAAATTCCCCCGAAGCATGTTTTGATAAATGGCGATTATCTTAAAAATTTCTTATTGAACAGAGCTCCTTTGTCCCTCGGTATCATCATACAAAATTTGAACAAAATCCGTCCACTTGTATTTGAGTTATCAAAGATTACGTGTTTACGAAAAATGGCGGCCATTTTGAAATTCAGCCGTCATCTTGAACCAAATCAGTGGCCATCTTAAATATTCCTTCTCGAGCAGAGCTCCCGTGCCAAAATTTTAAAAATCTTTTCTTTGTCCCTAAAGACCAACATATAAAATTTGAATCAAATCCGTCAACTAGCTAGTATTTCAGTTTCAAAAGATTATGATTTTCACGAAAATAGCGGCCATTTTGAATAGCAGTCATATTAAAAATTCCTTCTCTAACAGAGGTCCTACACCCATAAGACAAAAGCCTATATACAATTTGAATCAAATCCGTCAACCGGAGTTCAGTCAGAACTGACGAACTGACGGACGAACAGCTTTTTTAAATCCCTAACGAGCTACATTTGCTGGGATAATAATGGTTCTTATTTCTGATTGAGTATGAACTATGCATAGCATAAAATGTGTATTGTGCATGCAATTACGTCACTGTACAACAATGAATACTTGCGTAAAGGGTCAAAACAATATTCGATGCGGCCTTTACATTTGCATGTGGGCGAACATGCATTAAAACAAATCTTAATCAGCTAGAGATACACATTCACTTATCAACTCAGGTTCCGTGGATGATGAAAAATGATCCTAGTGATTTGCTTTTACTATAATTGCCGACTTGTCATAAAATAAGGTGTATATGCGTATATGGTAGCAACAAGATGTTCACATTTCATATCAGTTTTCATTAAATACAGTAATGGACACGAACCCGTCACTAAGTCCTTTCTTTCTTAATGTGATATCATGTACTCCCTAGCTAGTTATTAACAAGTCTTCTTTGGTGAGGCTTAAAAAGTAGTAATGATAATTGACATGCTTGGCTCACGAAATGAATGGAGGGGTTGGCGTAAGTTGAGGCAGTCCACCCGGGGTTCATGCTCGTGTCAGAATCTATTAACTGGGCAAATGTGAGTGTTGGATGATTATAGATTTTAAATGCCCTTTGATACGCTTATGGACTTGAGATTGGATTTTGTGTGTCGCATATAATCTGAGACTGAATTTTGAATGAATACTAGTATCTACAACTATTTTTGATGTCATTGGTATTGAATTGGCGTTCAATTTAAAATCTATTCTCCAACATGTCTTAAATTGTGACATTGGTACTTGAATGGCGGTGGGGGAGGGGGGGTATAACACACTGTTTCTTTTTATGTTGGACTATGATTTGGGATATTTGAGATTTGTTTTACTTATAACAGGTGTACTCTTGTTCTTGCTGTGTTCTGTAACCATTTTTGGTACTTTCCCATTGGCACCAAATATTTAGGCTTTTATCGTTTGCTTGATATGCATGTAGAATTACTATGTAGTAGTATAATTTTAACATAATACGAGTGCTTTCCTTTCAGATATTTTACATTTATTTACAAAATAATTATAATTTAGTTAATAATAAAATGAATATAAAACTGTACAATATAATTACAATTTACAAATGTTATTTGGCACATCAGCAGTAATCAATACTACTCCAAAGATATGGTACTCGATTCTACACAAGTACTACATATTACTCAAAATATCCAAATTTCTCAAAATGTACTCAGTACTACTCCAAAGATACTCAATATTGATCAAATATACTCAATACAACTTAAAAAGTACCTAATGTTACTCACTATAACTACAAAGATATTCGATATTGCTCAAGAAATTATCTTCACTAAAAAGTACTCAATATTTCTCAAAACGTGTACAATATTACTCATATATAAAAAGTGTCAAAAAGTGTTGCTTCAGTGTTATATCAATTATTTCATGTTTTTGATTTTAACAGTTCGTTGTGTCCTTGATCAAAATCTAATTGTGTACAATCCAATGTTCTTTGTAATAGATGCATTAATTGATAACAAATCAAAAACATCTAAGAGTTTCATCTAAAAGAAGTAGGCTCATGTGTTCATAACTACCTACGACCCGAATTCAATAGATGATATGTTTAGTTTCTACAATGTGCATAACGCCTTGTATTGCAACCACAGTCACGACCTCTTTTATTGCATATAAAGACTCCCAATATTTCGACCATTTATGAGAGTTTCTCTCAAGGCGAATTCCTTCTTTCAGGGGGTCCAAAGTAGATGTTAAGCTAAAAGATTAACTTCAAGATTAAATCGGTATCTATGGAAATCTGACCCTGACTAAGTATGCATAAAATTAGGATTAGGTCAGCAGTTTTTTTTATGACAATCTAGACATAACAACCCTTCTACACCGGCTTTCAATTAAAAACATATCAAAACGAGAGTCACACACGCCAGTTGGTGATTCTCGAGTTTCGTCCTGAATGGTTTCCCAACAACTTAGCATCTCCCACACGACTTTTTGCAGTGTTGGAGCATGTATTTGGTGTTCATATGACAGTGTCCGTGTCTAGCCCATTCTTCACACGATTGAACAAAGTCTCTGCAAGGCTCTAGAATAAGATGAAAAGGGGGATACTAGAAACAAACTGATGTGTGAAATACCTCTATTGAATAGTCACTTTGTAACATTCCCTGAACTCATTTTTCATCTGAATTATTATTCATGTAGTATTTCTATTTCATCAAGGAATGTAAAAATAAGAATCTTGTCACGTGGCACTACAATACATAAAAATCGATGGCAGCAGGTTAACCACCTGTAAGATTCAAGAACCACACTCCGATAACAAAGACATGTAAGTCTTACTTAATTGTTAAGCAGTTACTAGTTCATAATCTTAAGAGTCTCTCACCTTTACTTTTCTTATCTTCATCATTCACTTTAGTCCTACTTGTCTTTTTATCTTTATTTTTTCTCCTGCGTTTTCCATCTCTAGAACTCTTGGTCCGCCTGCTTTTGTTCTTTCCATGTCTAGTTTTACGAGAAGTGTCTTTACTTGGCTCATCGCCAAGGTCAGTAGTTGTGACCTTGACACGTGGCGTGTCATCCGTCAGATCTCTGGTCGTCTCATTTTCGTCATTTTTATTTTTCTTAACTGGTTTGCATTTACCACACGAGTAGGCGCAATGTATGTGCATGTAGGAGGGATTAATGTCACAATGTCCAGCTTTTGTCCAAGCCTTACAAAGAGCATTTTTATCCTTGCAGTTACCTTCAAGCAAAACACAGAGAAGCGAACTTAAAACCAGGAAGAAAGAGGCAAAAATCATAATTTTAATACAGTAAATAACTAAAGCTTAAAATATAAATCCATGCAAATACAGAAAACGTTTAATAAAACAAAAAGTAAGTACAGTATATGAGGCAGATTATGAAAAGGGTGAACAGAAACTATGTTCAATTGAAAAAAGTATCAATGTATTTTATTTGACACACAAGTTTACAGATAATATCTTTTTTGCTGCGGCCATCTATCTTTTTATACCTGATCCAGCATCGACTCCGTCTTCTATACATATGCCACATGACTTCTTGCAGTATACCAACATATAGGTGGGGCTAATAGAACAGTGGTCTGCCGCCGCCCAGTCCGAACAGAGGGAATTTTCGTCTTGGCAAACTAAAAATAGCATTATTCAATGTTTACGAAGGGATAAACAGAAGAAGAGCATGCGGGAATTTAACTCTCGACCCATTAGTTGATATTCCAAGTTAGGTAAGTCGTTGCCCAGTGTGGACACAGAGCGGTCCATAACCCGTTGATCGAGTGCCATCTGAAATACACTCTAGCTACTCATAAAATAAAAATGTATATACTGTACTCCAAATTGATCAAATCAATCTGTTGCATTGGCCTTATAAAATGTGAAAAAACCGTGTGTACATGAGCCAAGAAATATACTATACGAAGCAATATGAATGTATTTACCCTCTTCTTTCTTATTCTTATCATCACCCTTTCGCTTGCATATACCGCATGATAGTTGACAGTTGATCTTCATATAATCCGGGTTAAACGTACACTGACCCTCGGTGGCCCACATCGAGCACAGGTCATTCTTGTCGAGGCATTCCTCTCCTATAGGGTAGAAAACATGTTGATTGTAATTTGCATTTGTACATTTCATTCCCTCGCAACTGAAGGAAAGTAGTGTATCATCATGGAGGACAAAATAAAATGGCCTTTCTCGGATGGTATTACTACGGGCCGGGAAGGCACACGATAAATTACAGTGCTGCCTATAAACCTGTATAATGAAAAAGATGTAAACATTTATATATTTGATCGACTGCATATTCAATTGCATTTATAAAATCTGCTTATTTCACTAAAATCAAAGTACCTTTCTTTTTGGGTTTCTCTTCAACTGTTTTACATTTGTCGCATGTCCATTTACAATTTGTTTCCATCCAATCTTTATCGTTAACGCAGGCATCGTCGTTGGCCCATTGTTTGCACTTTTCACGTGGATAATAGTCTCGACAACCTTAAATAACAAAAAATATCTTGATTAGTGACTGTTCAGGAAATACAAGCCTTTGTTCCCAAACACAACACATAAATACGAACCCACAACTACGAGGATATTCCTCTGATGTTTAAATCTTAGTGGTGGGCTATTCTGATACTCATAGCATCTTTTTGTTTCACCTGAAACATCTCAGGGCTGAGAAGAATTGAGATGTCATGGTTTATCATGATGGTGGTGGGCGGCTCTCATCAAATAACGGTTCAATCGACCGAACATACATAACAGCATCTTATTCCTTTTATTCAGTTAATAGATGCATTGTTTCATCATCTTCGTGCAATTACTTAAAGATTCAATTTGCAAGGTAATTATCTTAATAAATTTATATCTCAACTTGATATGATAGACATGATGTGTGTAGTTTTCGCCTGATGTGGTACACTGAGTAAAACACATTTTCCAATCGTTTACGTAACAAGCTATATGGTATTCAGGTTATTTCCACCTGGATTCCCCTGGTGCCGGATAGGTGTAAAGAATGTTGTTTCCAAGTCTGATCAACATATGTATTGAGGTATATTACTAAGCAAAGAAAATTCCGAAAGAAGTATTAAAACACAGAAGACATCCTATAATGATATGCAAGGTTTGGCCATAGGCCTACCATAGGCGTCCTTGAGCATGCATATGAAGACCTCGAGAAGCACCAACAATCACCCAGATCTATTGACGAGGAGTGAATTGATGTCTCTCGAAAAGCAGATCAACAGATACTGTCTTTCTTTGTGCTATATACATGTATTGATCGGCTTTTTGTTCTATTTATGACAAAAGAACTCCACAGCACAAGTATATATAGCAATCAATTATAAGATACAATTATATTTCTGTTTAACTACAAACATGCATAAATAGTTAACAGTTACACGTAACATAATATATGTACAATATACAATATACCTAACAAGATGGATGCATCCGAAACCAACTTGTCTTCCAATAAACTACTTCCTGATGCAGCCATCTTACACAACTTTGGCATGGGGAATACTCAACCAACCATGGTGTTCGCTGTTTAGATGTTTGACTCAGTCTGCTGCACAGCCCCCGAAAACGAGTACTTGTATATTATTGATATGACTTGCACGTAGATAATTGGTATATTTTCGGTATGTGCATAAACAATTATGAGTCAAACATGTAAATGATACTTAAAATCTTTGGGGTAAATCACACCATAGGGTTGTGTATTCATAATTAAGGAGGTGAATCGGGGATGGATGGGGGGTTAGCGACTCCTTGTAGCTTGTTCGAGAGCATACAAGAAAGTGAAACACATATGGTATCGCTCGCCACCCACCTTCTTGAATGATTAATGAGTATAGAGCATGGAATTCTTTCTTCACATAAACAAGGTTTAATTAAATTAAACCTCAATTTATGACAAAAGAACTCCACAGCACAAGTATATATAGCAATCAATTATAAGATACAATTATATTTCTGTTTAACTACAAACATGCATAAATAGTTAACAGTTACACGTAACATAATATATGTACAATATACAATATACCTAACAAGATGGATGCATCCGAAACCAACTTGTCTTCCAATAAACTACTTCCTGATGCAGCCATCTTACACAACTTTGGCATGGGGAATACTCAACCAACCATGGTGTTCGCTGTTTAGATGTTTGACTCAGTCTGCTGCACAGCCCCCGAAAACGAGTACTTGTATATTATTGATATGACTTGCACGTAGATAATTGGTATATTTTCGGTATGTGCATAAACAATTATGAGTCAAACATGTAAATGATACTTAAAATCTTTGGGGTAAATCCCAAAAGTAATAAAGCCAATTGAAATAAGTCGATTTAAGCTTTTTAATTTCTTGATTGGCCTAGAGTTTTTGGGGAATATTTTAAATATTGTTAATTTCACATTGGTTATGGTTACGATGGTAATATTTATTTGGATATAAGCTGATTTACAGGTAATTTACCAATGTCGCCTAATGTACATGTGCTATACAAATGTATCATTTCAGAATGGTACTGCTACATGTAATCCACGTAGTGTTTGAAATGAGGTTACGGACATGAACAAAAATTATGGTGTTTTCAACCTGGGAGGCACGATCTCTTTTGATCCCTGCTAATGAAAAATCAGGGTTTATGGTGAGAACTCCCTATGAAGGAAGCATTTACATGTACTTCTAAACTCATAAACATAATAAAATAACATATGCTCTAGATAGAGCCTTGTGAGTTTTCCCAAAACGTTATAGTTTACTTATAACAAGGTCAAAATAACGATGGAATTCTATTTCTGTTCATAATTGTGAAAAATTGACTAGACTGTTTTCTTGACCAGATCAGCAATTAAAAATATGCGAACAAATAACCTACATATTGTTACGATGAAGAGTTTGGGAAATTAGGTTTAAATTTATGGTTCGCATCAGAGAGGTTCCAGATTATATGACTATCCCTCAGCTCCTATCTCCGCTATAGTATATCTTGTTTCTGAACCGTACGATGTAAATGAAATATTACAGCGACTCGAAAATTCTGCTTCATTCATAATGCGATCCATGAATCATCGCCTAAATACTAGCTGTCATAGTTGTCATAGTTGGAAAGGTCCTCAATCAAACACCATAGTAGCAGGAAGCAATCATGAACCATGGTAACAGGCAACGGACAATTTAGAACAAATGTCAGGTAATGTCCTAATTGGATAGTGAATTATCTGTCTGTATGGATCACTTCTGTAAGTTCATAGAAAGTACAAGACTGTCGTCTACTTCAGTTGTAATTAGGTTTTTCTCGTCTCTTATTCCTTATACCAGTATAGGCCTTTGCCCTACTGACCGCTGATATGACTCTTGACTTAAGGTGTACAAAACGGAAGCATTCGGAAACGACGGAAGATCTCAAATTCAGCAAAATTTCCTTAATTATTTGGAGACGAATTTCAACAATTTGCACATGGGTTTCACATTTCAAATAGATCAACTGATATACGGTTGCATTTTCATAAAAAAAGAGAGCTCGGGATTCACTAAATTGGTAGTTTTGGAGTTCCATTACAACTTTGGTATTGTATGCGATTTATAGATCTACATAATTCAATAACTAATAAATTTAGTTGACCTTTCATAAAGATAATTGATATTTCGTGAACAAAATTTTTGAATTGTCCGACTTTGTATTGATTTAATATTTATATGATGGAATAGTTTTTTGTTTTGTCAAACGATCATACGCGTGTCGTCTCAATGACAAGACTCAGACCTACTAACTTATTAATTAATGATAACGTTCATCAGAGTAGCTTTTCATTCACAACTTTACTTTTAATAGAACATCGCTTATAATGTTAGCAAAACCTTTTTTTGTATTTACCAATTAGCGTAACATGTTAAACATATCCTAACACTGTGGCATCTAGTTCGTCATTTTCAGATATGATAGATGCAAACAGGAATGAAAAATCTGTCGATTAGTGGCCGACAATCGCTTTTAGATACAACACCTATTAACTTTGCCTTTGTTTTTCTAACTTAGCATATATCAAAACTTAAAAGGTAGAATAAGTGATAAATTTTGAAAAATTGTTTTGGACTTATTCTTCATCAGTCATTGTCGTGCCTGTTTTAGAAAAATCCCAACGTTCATACCTATTTGAATGAAATATATTATTATGTAGACTAGACTTATCGAAGACACATATTGTGATATTTTTGAAACAGGAATTCTTAAGTTTATTAAGATAAATTCCACAAATGGTACATCCATAATTGGATGTGTCTAACTTGAAAAAAGGTGCCAGTTGTCAGTAACACTAATGTGCACTCGGTTGATGCACAAAACAAAGAAGAAAAAACTAAACGCTAACCTATGCAAAAAATAAAACAAATACAGACAAAGGGAAAAAATGTGGTAAAGTATTAAATAACATATCAGTCTAGAATAAACTCGATTTAATCAAAAAATTAAACTACTCATACTCTGAAAGAAGTCATTTAAATAAATTACCATCTTCTCCGTTGTCGTCTACATTATTGTCGTCTTCCTCTTCATCACTTTTGTCTTTTTGTTCTTTGTCACATTTGGTACAAGCTCGCCTGCAGTTTTCAATCATCCAATCTTCGTTCTCTTTACATTCTCCTGCTTTTGCCCAGCGTTCACATTTTGCGTCATCTTCGTAAATGTTCACGCATTCAGCTGAAAGAAGATCCAATTTAACGTCCCGAGGTTTAAACTCAGTTGGCTTCAAAAGAGCACACCACACTACCATACTTAAATATCTTCGAATAATAAATGCTATTTCCATTCCATATGTTAAGATATGTAACTCAAAAGATTTATCTATCCATTTCTGAAATACGTAATTCAATTTCAACATGCTGTCTTTTTCAAAAGGTACATCGATGTATCCGTTAATCAGTTCCCATCGTTGAATGGTCCAATGAGAATCTGTTGCCCCCGAATGGAGGTTCAAGCACAAGTTATTCTCGATGAAATGCTAATACTTGGGTAGTTTAATGCTACGCTTAGATACTGACAGACGTTTGTTGAATGTAACTGACTTGCAATCGACTGCCTGTTCAAGTGATAGAATTTCCATAAAGAAATCTGGGAAAACATCAACTTGAGAAGTGTTAAAGAAAAGTCACGTTGACATATACGAAAATAGTGACACCTGACCTTTGTTGCTGACCTTCAAAGTAGCACTAAAAGAAACTATGTTATCGCATGGAGAATTGAGGTTTATTCAAGAAAAATCACTTTACATTCCGCCAAGCTTCTTGAAACATAAACAAAAATAATTGTTCTTCCATATTCAAGTTGTTTGTTGCTATCTTTAAAGCAATGAAATAAGATTTTAGGAAGTGCATCTTTAAGTTTTCTGACGTCACACATTTTATTGTATACCTTCAAGAGTAGCAAATTGCATCCGACTATTTACTTCTAATCACCATTAAATATATTACCAACGGGTTTGTTGAGTTGCTAAAGATTAGCTGACTTTTACATTTCCTCTGGTCCCTGTTTTTCATTCGTTTTGGTGCCAAACATCCGGTATTCATTTTAATGTTGTTGTTTAATAATTTTATTTTAATAAGACATTGCACTGTTTTGAAGCATTTTATATTAAGAAATTACATCACATTTGTTTTTCATCAATTTTCATTCAATGCTTCTGTCCCAACAAAATTTCCAAAATGGGCCTTACGTAACATTAAATATGCAAATTCCAATATCTAATGAAAAATATCAGAAACAACAAAAAAAGAATTATTGAGCTAGTGAGTATTTAGATATAGAAACTTAAGTTAAATAGTCGAAATACATGTATATGTTCCCTGATCAAAATAGTCAATACCGATCAAGAAATACCACATACCTTCCCCGCTGCTGTCGTCTGTTTCGCATTGCTTGCATGACCTTTTGCAGTTTGTATGCATCCAATCTTTGTTCTTGTCGCACTGACCTTTGTTAAACCAGTCGTCACAGTCCTCGTCATCAAATATATTTACACATGTCGAGTCTGCAAAAAAGCATGCAACGATGACGTAGAATGTATTTACACAACTACTATCTATATAAAGAGCATCTGAATTCAATATGATGATATAAAACATATAATTATTTAACAATCTGTAAAATATATAATAGTATAGGCATCTCACGATTTGTCTCATTGGAAAAAGGGACAAAAAAGTATAGTTTTACGAGAAACACCCATGCTTCATCGCTTTATGAAAATTGACGTCTAATATTCAAATGGCTAGTATATAAAGATCAGTAAAGCTATTTCGAATATCAATTTAATTTCCCTAATGAAAACAATTTGTCGACGTGTCATTATTTGCTGACCCTAGAAATCAAACAACTGCTCTTGATGTATGTCATTTTTGTTTTTTCCTTACGTCAGCTGAGATCATTAAATTATGAAAATGGGTGAGGTGAATTCGGTGCATTAGTCATCGACCCAGATATCCATATTCACATGCGAACGTCAACTAAAATTGTTTCAGTTGTGCAATTTAAGAGGTTGTTTTCAAACCACATAAAAATTTCTAGAATTACGCTCGTCGAATTAACAAAAAGTCCACCACAAAAATGGTATAAATTTCTATTGTTATTACAGAAGGCATTGGACATCATATTACCATTCTGACTCATAATATTTAGACATTGATGGTTAACATATGCACATCACGATGCATGTTTTTAATGATGAGGTAATGAAATTGTGTAGCGGATTTAAAGTTACCCCATTTTGAACAAAAAATGCTAAATATTATATTACATAGAAATGGTTTTCATATTCAGTGTTTTTTTCTCTCAAAGTTATGAGTAAACTTTGATGCAGACTTGCATAGTGGGGTCGCAGTGAACTTGGAAATATTAAGACACAAGTGCAAAAAGGGTAATGGCCTCTTAGATACTAAAGGGTATTTTTTAATTTTTAACATCATGTGATTTAACAAATTTTGAAATACTTAGAGCAACACTGGAATCAAATTTCCCCGACGCTCTGGGTATTAAAAAGATAGAAGATATGTACAAAAAATAAGCATCATTAGAAAGTATACAACTGGTCGGTGGAAATAAATCACAGGGCATAAATACTATACAGAAGTGTGTTTTGGAAGTTCTATCTTGCAATCACCGCTGGAAACCGAGAAAACTGAAAACATAATCATTTAATTATTACTATTGTTGAGAATTTAGCAACATGTTTTGTGAAACACAAAAGTAGCAAAGTTATATCCTTTATCACTTTTCAAAATTTCAGGTAGATTTCGTTGGACTATTAGTTCTTATTCACTATGAAACAAAATTATACCTGTTTTATTCAATTTGCACAAGTTACAAGCAAGTCTGCAATTTTCGTGCATCCACACAGGATTCGCATCACATTCCCCACCGTCTGCCCATCTATTGCATTCGTGGTCATTGTGGATATTAATACACTCTCCATTGGTATTCTTATCTATATACAAAATTATAAAAAAAATAATAATAATAGGGAAAATAATACGAATACATGCATTTATAGTATATAAGTAAAAAAGCAAAATAAACCTGGACAAAAAAAATTCCTATGTAAATAAGTGCGTAAAAATTTCGTTTATCCACACACACTCATCAGCTGCCTATCCACTGCATTCTTGGTCATTGTGAATATTAATGTACTCGCTCCATTATTTTCTTAAAAACAAACGATGGAACCAGAAATGTACATGCACTAAATAAATAAAAAGCAAACTGCACCTTGGCAAAAGAAAAATTATACGAATACACACATAAAGTAAAGTAAAAAGCCAAAATACACCTAGGCAAAAGGAAAAACTCTACAAAAGTCAACAAATGCACACATACTCTTCAGTTTGCACAAGTTACAAGCAAGTCTGCAATTTTCGTGCATCCACACAGGATTTGCATCACATTCCCCACCATCTGCCCATCTATTGCATTCGTGGTCATTGTGAATATTAGGGCACTCTCCATCAGTGCTTGTGTCTATATAAATTATAGAAACGGAAATGAACAATGGATTATGTAAAAAGCAAAATGCACCTAAGCAAAAATGAAAACAATACAAATGCACACATACTCTTCAGTTTGCACAAGTTGCAAGCAAGTCTGCAATTTTCGTGCATCCACGCAGGATTTGCATCACATTCCCCACCATCTGCCCATCTATTGCATTCGTGGTCATTGTGAATATTAGGGCACTCCCCATCAGTGCTTGTGTCTATATAAATTATAGAAACAGAAATGAACAATGGATTATGTAAAAATCAAAATGCACCTAAGCAAAAATGAAAACAATACGAATGCACACATACTCTTCATTTTGCACAAGTTGCAAGCAAGTCTGCAGTTTTCGTGCATCCACACAGGGTTTGCATCACATTCACCGCCATCTGCCCATCTATTGCATTCGTGGTCATTGTGAATATTATGGCACTCTCCATCAGTGCTTGTGTCTATTTAAATTATAGAAACAGAAATGAACAAAGAATTGTGTAAAAAGCAAAATACACCTGGGCAAAAGTATTCGAATACACATCTAAGTTAAAAGCAACACACAACTCTCTAGGCAAAAAGAAAAACAATACAAATGCACACATACTCTTCAGTTTGCACAAGTTACAAGCAAGTCTGCAATTTTCGTGCATCCACACAGGGTTTGCATCACATTCCCCACCATCTGCCCATCTATTGCATTCGTGGTCATTGTGAATATTAGGGCACTCCCCATCAGTGCTTGTGTCTATATAAATTATAGAAAAGAAATGAACAACGAATTGTGTAAAAAGCAAAATACACCTGGGCAAAAGTATTCGAATACACATCGAAGTTAAAAGCAACACACAACTCTCTAGGCAAAAATGAAAACAATACAAATGCACACATACTCTTCAGTTTGCACAAGTTGCAAGCAAGTCTGCAATTTTCGTGCATCCACACAGGATTTGCATCACATTCACCACCATCTGCCCATCTATTGCATTCGTGGTCATTGTGAATATTAATACACTCTCCATCAGTTTTCTTATCTATATACAAATTATAGAAATGTTTAAACAACATTTAACCAAGTAAAAAGCAAAACGCATATGCACAAAGAAACATTATATAACTACAGACATATACTACATACATATATAAATGTATTGACATTATTCACATATCGACATTTTTTCTTGTAAAAAAGAACATGTGTTTTTTTCGGAAGATCGATAAATGCATCAGGGCACACATAAAAAACAAGATAATTTAAGTTTTACTATTTACACAGGAAAAGATAGGTGTAAAATAAAACAACATCACGTAACCCAAGACACACATATCCTGGTATCAAATCTCCGTTTCACTCTTAATCTCTATACACTGGTGTGGAAGAGATAATGAAGGCACTTGATCATGTAACACTCTAGGTATTATAGGCTAAGGAAGACTTCAAGACACAACCAACTACATCCTCACGCAGGGATCCAGAGCCTCTCTACAAGTATTTGAGTTTCCAGAATGGGGAGAGAGTTAATCTGTTTCTTGTAGCTGGGTATATTCAGGATGTGCAAACTGTGAATCAAAGTGCTACAAACCTTCTTCTTCGCATTTTCCACAAGCATTTTGACAGTTGTCTATCATCCAGTCGGGGTTGGCATCGCACTCGCCTTCCTCTGCCCATCCTATACACTTGTCGTCATCATAGATATTCCCACAACCTTCTTCCTCTTCTTCTTCCTCTTCTTCAGTAGCGTTACATTTATTGCAGGCAGCTCTACAGTTCTTTGCCATCCATTTTCTAAATCTTATGCAGTTCCCTTCTTTCACCCAGTAGTGACAGTCCGTATCACTTTCAATGTTTCCGCAATCGTCTGCAAATGATGAGATCAGAATAACATTTAATATAGCTAAATCAACGTTATGGTCATCTTGCCTACTGTGTTAAGTGACTGTTTGAATTATATGTAGGTCATCTGATTTGCATCCGTACATGAAGTCAGATACTATAATACAAATATTTAATCCTTGTATTAAGGTGAATGAATACATGTGCATCTTTCTCTTGTTGTTTTTTTAGTCACGAATAGGACAATGACCAATCAGAAAGTGGGGAATATGACAGTAATATAATAATCTATTCATTTATTTAAAGAGCTAACTTACTGTCAATTGTCTTTTTGGGAATGTCCTCGGGCGCAGGTTGGCATATTTTGCATGACTTGGCACAGTTGTTCCCCATCCAGATGGGGTTATTCTTACATTCACCGTCACTAGCCCAGTAGTCACACTCGACGTCATTATAATGTACGTTCCTACATTTCGCTGTAAAAAACATATACGCTGATATACAATGCGTTATCAGAAATATTTCAGTTTAAATTCCAGATCTTATGTGATAAAACGAGAACGGTAACCTGGTTAACGATCTCCAGATCAAGGACGACCATGCAGATCAAGGTCAATCGGGGAAATACGTATGGGTAAGTTTGGTAGAACGGGTATGTACAACAAATATAACATATTAGAAAAGATACATACCCTTTTTTATTCATCAAATTTAAAATATGCGAAAAATAATATAAGTCACTCCATACACACATACATACCCTTATCTTCCTTTGAAATGTATGCTTCGGTGTCAAACACTTCAATTCCCTTGCACTTGGAGTCACCAACTGGGCAGACGCATTTGCAGTCTTTGTTCATGAACCCAGCTCCTCCGCAATGTTTATTTGGACAATGAGCTAAAAGAAAACAGGAAACGTCAACTCTTAGACAAAATACAGATAGCTTGTTGATTTTTCATGTAATTGCAACTAGATTTATTTTAAGTTTTTTCTTAAATATGGGACAGTGATTTGGAAAATGTGAAAACATAAGCATGTATAAGAAATGATTACTTACATGCGCATTGATACATATTATTGACAACTTTTATATCTGTGAAACTTAGTCCTTTGAGGTAGACTCTCCCTATCTCCGCCTCTTTACTTTCATCGAACGCTTTGATTGTCTGTGACGTGCCATCTTTGGAAAACGCCTGAAATAAGACGGGACTGTGATATTTCTACCAAGATATATACCTTTTGCAAAGATGGCAGCTGGGTAGATAACGTTTTTAGTTTTTTGTACTCTGGAAATCACTTTTTAATGGATGTTGATAAATTATAAGTGTGTTGCTGAAAAATGGTAATAAGTTTTATCTTACCGATGTCCCATAATGCATCACTGATGAATATTCATATGCTGCTCCAAAATTGTCAACGACACTTTTATCGTACTTTTTGAACCATTGTTTCAAGTCTTCTGCTACGTTTTCCCAGATGATATAGATATAATCGTCTCTTTGGGGCAATTGATGTTCGTGGTACAGACCAAAGGCATGTCCTATCTCATGAAGATACAGTCCTTTCTATAATGCACAAGGACACATTTGATAATTGACATTTATAAACAATCACTAACAAAACATCCGATTGCAGATGAAGGTTGTGACAAAGTCATTTAAAGCTACACGCAAAAGGTCCTTTTTCCAAACCCTTATGCACACAAAATAAAAGTTTTTGGATCATATACACCTTCTTTAAGATCGAAAATCATCAACACGAATAAATCTAAAATTGTCACATAATCATGAATTTCAAATCTAAAACTAGCTATTATGCACATCCAAGTGTCCTTTTTTCAAAGGATCTGATCAATGTTTCAAATATTGATGTCTACGTACCCAGCGACATCCGGGTGATTCTAGGTTTACTGCCTGCATACCTCCTACCATACCCAGTCTTGAATTGCACCTAGAAATAGTTACATTAACAATCAAAAAAATGTGTAACATATGTCCAGTGTTAGTATGGTCATTACCCATGTACTATAACATTTTCATAAATGAAATGACATGTGATCAGGGTGCAAAGTCACCAACAATAATATAAGAAAGCAGAAAATAAGCTCGAGTCAATGGTAGTCTCCATCTTATTGATGGACAAGTCTACTAGAACTATTCTGATGTTCGTAGCATCTCCCTCATTTTGCATTCCAGAGAGATGGCATAGTACCCCTAATCAAAGTTATTTTCCTTATTAGATATACTCGATGAAGGCCAGTAGGAGCTATATAGAATAAGAACCATAATTTCAATGGGACCATTATACCAAGAGGACCATATTTTTTTCACACACGTTCCTTACCCGAAACCATTTTGGAATCTAATGAAGTCACGGTCTTTCTTTGTCTTTGCTTTAAAATTGACACAGGTAAAGAATTCCCAGTCATTCATTGCAGTACGTAGCACATATTGGTCTTGTCTTGCTGAAAAGTTCAAAATATGAACGTCTATTATCATATATATTTCATAATAATGATTTTAAATTTAACTTTCAAATATTAGCTTAATTTAGAGATTCATGCATTCGTCTTTGATAAAGGGGCGATAAATGGAAAATCATTGAATCTAAATTTAACTGATCCTCAGGGTCATTGTTAATGTTCTATGTAAAGTGGATTGAAATTGATTTAGTTTTTCTCTGAAATAAAAAGTAAATTCATTAAAAAATACTTACAAAAGTCATCATAGTTTAATTCATAAGTAACAGTTGCATTATCCCAATAAAGGATATCATCGTTGACAGCCTTTCGCTTCGTCCGTAGTTTACCAGGCGGGGCTGGCGCTTCTTTTCTGTAATCAAGAGGGAAGTTAATATTTATGATTCGATCATGACTGTATTTACGCCTTCTATAAACTGTAAACAAAGTCAACCTTTCACCTGGGGTATATTCGCGAACATTGCCCCTGGTTATACGTGTAATGCGTGACGTCATAATGGCGGACCGCAGTAATGGCGGACCATAATGAATATTCGAAACCTTTTGGTGAGTTTTCATGTCCGAATCGTAATATTGACCTCAGAGCAGGTGTAATATCGTCGAATACACCCCTTAGGGCGAGGTACAAAAGCTTTCGAACCCCTCACTCCCTTCGGTCGTTCAGGGTACAGAAAACGTTTGTGCCTAGCCCTGCGGGGTGTATTCGATTATTACCCCTGTTCTTCGGTCTATATTTCTTAATTCGAACATGACTGCATTCACACCTTGTATAAACTGTAAACAAAGTCAATATTTCACCCGGGGTAGAAGTAGAAACGCGCTGAACCATTTTTAAAGAAAAGGAATCCTTTTTATACATATTATTGTTACGCAAACTGATATAATGTGATGACAAATGTAGAAAGAAAACCTACCCTGGGTACAACTTCTCATATTGCTCCTCTGTCAGTACCATATCCAGCTCGGATAGATACTTAAAACTTGGATCTAACAATTTCTGGGGACCATCTCCGCTTTCTGCAATAAAACAAGTTTCGAATCAATGAAAATCGCACTTGGGTTTATTAATACAAACACTATATAAACCCGGATTTCAATTCGATACAAAATATTTACACACAAAATAATATACAGAACAAAATATGAAGCAACTATATATTCGTCTATTCAGACCCATTCATATATCCACCACCTGCGAAAAATAACATAGCTGGCACTTTCAACATCACAAAAATAAAATTCATGGATGCGCGCGCAACCATGCATGATGACGCAATGCATAATGGAACGCGCAAAAGTACTTTATCAAACCTGTTATCAGTTTTATTCCTGAGATGGGTTCGTTTATGTAATCTAAAAATCATGAACATAAATGAGTACAACAATGATAGGTGACTTGTCTTCAATCAAGCGTGGCGAATGGATAGCAGGTCATGATAGGTTATCTAGCAGAGTACCTTGGTTCGTCAGAATCAAACCGTATACAATTCGTTTGAAAGAAGATATGATAAGACATTGCGGCTTCTTCATTCACAGAATATGCCAATTCGTTTGTAGTTACCATAGCAATACAAGAACGTAGTATATTTGTTGTTGGGTGGCTATGCTTGATTGATGGGCTTTTGTATATTTTGCAAATTGTCATTTGAAATATAGTATGGTCCCGAAACTTCTTTATCAGGAATCATTTTATGGAGTTTCAAATTGTTTTTAGGTGTTAGCTACCTTAATTCATGCCAAAGGGTTGTATTCTCTATTATATAAAATGACCAACATCTTAGCTTGATATTAAGGTGATCTACTCACTGTGTTTCTCCAATACGCCGCTGATGATTTGGTCGATTGACAGGTCCGTGTATGGCTCAGCGGGGTTTGGTCTCCCAATGTGCCCAGGTGCCCCTACCTCTTGTCTCTCAATGGGTCCACTGGATATGTGTGATACCTGGAATGGAAAGAGTATCATTTTTACCATATTGGCGTTATGTGGTTCTCAGTTAATTTGGATGAATGGCCAACAATTGTTCAACCTTTTTTGGAATGTCTCGAGGTTTAATAGTATGATGGTCAAATAATTTTTCGTATTTATCGGATGCTTGTTTCCACCCTGCGGTTTGCTATTTATTGTTTCCATGTTGCGTTTTTCAAGCTTTGTCTAATCTGTCATATTTTTATTGCTGAAAACTGCAATATCTCAATTTCTCAAAATATGCCTGTGGTGAATTATGAAATGATTATACCTGATGATGTGTTACTTACAACATGATATGAAAACAATAGAAAAAATGATATTAATGATGGCAGAAATGGTTACATCTTAAATCATCAATCATACACTATATGACCCTTGGATACTTTTCGATTTTGAGATTGGATGGGCCACCCTCTTTAAGTCTGAATCCAATATCTTATTTGAGTATTAATAACGACATTTATTTTTGATATCATATTTTTAGTTTGTTCTCAACATGCATTTTCATGAATTCATTTATAAATAAATGTCTCGTGGTCTTGTGGCTTTGGACTACTAGTATTAAGGTGTTAGACATTGTCACATTGTTTTTGAGCATTAGATCATGATGGGATAATATTGAATATGAGTTTCTTTTATAATTGGTTGAACACTCTTTTTCTTACAGTGATTTTGGTCGTCCCCTTTTGGAATTTACATACCAGTTGATGTTGAAAGCCCATGCACTAACATAAAACACGGTTTAAGAAAATAAAACCCAATAATAACAAATTAAACGATAAAGCAATCAATTGAAAAAGAGATTTTCCACTCAAATTACATGTTGTCCCTTTCTAAATAAAAGATCTAAATAAATCTACAGAAGCATCAAAAAGTCTAGATGGTTTTGTAAATGGTACTAAGTCCACAATTTTAGAGTTCAGAAATTATCCATTTGACCAATTATTCACAATCAAAAGCCTTGACACGATAAATGGGCTATATAGCAATTTTTATGCAAAAATATAGCTATAATTGTTAAAAGAATGAAACCCATGTATACTTACTATGGTAACTGTAGCTATTCATAACAATCACAATTGTAAGCCCAAGGTTAACGTGACACTGACAGATATTTTTTTAACAAGTTATTATGGTGAACAACTTGAAATAGGCCTACTGAAAAACTGCAGAAGAGCACTTCTCCCAACAAAACCCCAATGTACATTGTAACCACAACAATGACAACAACTAAAAGTATGACACGTTTGTTCCATATGATTGATTCCAATGCCCTTTTTATAAGTAATGTGACAAGCACTAATGGCAACATTAGGAAACCAAAACAAAATACCCTTCAAAACTTATGATTTTGGAACCACAAAAACCAAAGGTATCATTATACAGACTTCAGGTGTCCATCTTCTTCAAATCAAACAAGGAGGATTGGCTCCCAGAGTGCAACATCGATATTCTGTCCCATATATAGGCATGTCGTGCTACAAAATTTGAATTCCAACGACCGCCATTTTGTTCACTTCAACATTTGAATCGTGAATTTTGGTCTTATTTCCTAACGAAAAATTCCAAAACTCACAGGAAATGATCAAGATTTTGGTTCGAATCTTTTGAACTGTTTATTTTGAATTTATAATCGGTTTTAATTTCAGAAAATAACGACATTTCGGTGTTTTCATTGTTGGAAAATATTGAGTTCGATTCTGGGAGCCAATCCTCCTTGAAATCAAATGACCTCAGCCAATTTGCGGATTACTTCAGCGGGTACCCTCGTTTACCATAATATCATGATAAACTAGAACCTTGTCAAGCTAATTTAATTTCCAGAAACCACAAGTAGTTTGACGAGAAATTTGATTTGTCTGGGGGTAAATTTTGGTAGACCATCCCTCCAAGCTAGTCAAAATACGTAGTATTTGGCATCGCTGTGACCCATAAAACATTATAGACGATAGCTAGTCATAGATAATCGCCCTTCTTTTATGACTCTAATTGATTTAGCAGAGCAAATGTGTAGAGAAGTGAATTACCCCAATCCGGCCTAGATTTCTATACAAGCAAGAGCTGTGCACGGTCTTGCTGAGTCAGGGAAAGTTCAGGGTGATAATATCGACATTAGCAAATATAAATAACAGTAAATTTGAGTTCTTCAAAATAAAGTTGCTACTTTAGCGTAATCATTAATATATTTGCACAATTTCCAAGGTGCTGGCTAAACATATCCTAATAATGACCTATGTCGAGTGGTCCTATTATACCCCCTCAGCTTGGCGTAAGTCAATATTAATTACAAACAAAATAGCACTTATAATTTTTTGCTCCTCTTTATCAATTTCAGCTTTGTTAGTAGGTATGCACTCTAGTTCCACTTTTTAATATAGTGGTCGTGACAGGTCCTACAAAGAATGTGTTTTGCAAAAAATGTCATAAACATTAAACTTTGAATAATTTTGAATGGAGTGACGTCACACGTCAGAGCGCCTTAATTCAATTCTAGCATTCAGCCTGTCTTGTTTGCGCAAAATTTTAAGAAATTTGAAGTTCATGCCGGGATAATTATATATCATAGATTCGTAGAACGGTACAACCTGCTCAGTGTTTTGAAATCTTAGGAGGTCTAACCAAAAAAAACACAAACGGTTACATATATCCTTTATGCGGTTAATCTCTGTTTTTTCAATGAAAAAATCTCATTCGTCATGCAAAGATGACGTTTCTTAATCACGGAACTCGCTACATTACCTCACTTATGCGCTAATGATGACACAAAGTGGATTTAAGTTAGGAAGCTGGCACTTATTTGACATATTTCAGAAAAATAACTGATTTGAAGTACCCAAGTACCCTGGTATAACTTGAGTAAATACTGAATGAAGTTCAATTATGAATCGGCAACATTTAGTAAACTCGACATAAAACTCATAATTAGACCACTTAACGTCAAATTATCTCAACCTGTTCGAAAAATCTGTATTTTCTCAATTGAAGATCTAAGGTCAGATCGACTCCCATTTTTTATCTTGAAATTATAAATTGACTTTAGTTGACCTCTACCATCTTACCCAACAGGCTTTCCTGTATTAGAAACTGTCAACCCGTTTTCATTATCAACCATCACCAAGGTGATAAATGACAACACGCTCAGTATAAAAAAATGAGGCCAATGTACCGAAAATATGTTCTCAAGACGCAATATGCTTACAAAAAACTATAATCTCGTAGTAAATCTAAATTGTGATAAATTTTGTTTTTTATTTACTCAAATGATTCTCCGGTGTGTTTATGTGGTTTTATATTGAATACCTTTTGATCTTCTATTATGCGTGTTGATAAACACTAAAATCAATGTTGTTTCCTTTTAAAACGTTCTATTTGTACTTAAAGTCCAATGTATTCATTTATTGCCACAACAGCATTGCTCTTATTAAGTGCGTAATTTGCGCAAATTAGACCAGGCGCAAAAAAGTCAGGTTCACTTTGTTGTGTATACTTTATTTCTCAGTGTTTACGCAAATGATTGTAACATGATGAAATGGCGATAAATTATTTCAAGACTAGTACTTTAAACAGATCCTACCTGAATACTTGCCAAAGTTATAAGAATGTATAACCCATATTTTATAGTGTTGTTGAAGTCCATGACAATGCCTTCCGTGTATTTGGACAGTACTGGTATCTGTCTGCCCCTCGCTCCTTGTGTTTCTTCTTAAATTGTTTTAGCAAACCAAAGTTTGAACTAATTTAGGGTAATCTTTTTTGGTTTTGTAATCTCTCTTTGAATTCCAAATCCCTCGATGGCCCATTCTACTTATCCTGTCATTTTATATCATCACTTAACCAACCAATTTCCCGTTTGATTATTCTCTGAGTCATTTTATTTTCCAATAACAAACGCTAGGCTTGCTTCCGGCATTTTGGTCACAGTTTGCACCTAGCTTCACGCTACCGCCGCGCACTGTGGTTTTACAGTACTTAGAAAGTGTATCATTGAAAAGCCGTTTATTGGTCGGGGAGAATCTTAGATTGACGATTAGTAACTGTATAAATATAAACAAAACCGTGTTCCTGATTCTTAGAATATATACTTAAATAAAGCTTTATTCAGTTTCCTAAAACATGAAATGTCTATGAGTAACGTCCCATAATAGCGCAAATAGCTATTGTTGTCACATCCACTGAAAATGACGACGTTACCAAATTTCTTGTGAAATATATAGGTTAAAGACTTTGTCCCCTCAGCACCCAATGAACTAGATCAACGAATAGATACAACTTTTTGTATTAGTGGAAATCTGGAAATCGCTGTGTGCCAATTAACCCCATCAGTCCTGTGACATATAAGGCACAATGCTGCTACTGGTGATAAAAATGATGATTCATCGGAAAATGAGATTACACAAGGTGGTCCCGTGTCACCTGTGGCATCTTGTACTAGCAATGAATCTTCGGAGTCTCCAAATTACCAGGTTCCCTTGTCTCCACAACCACATGTACCATATGGTAACCACCTTAGTCTCCAATTTCTAAAATTGGTTGTAATTTAGTTTTAAGAGCGAGAATAAAAGGCCACAATTGATATTTTATATCCATCAGCGGGTCTGTGTAATTTATCTTCCTTGAGCTTTGATGTGTTAGAATTGTCGTCAAACCATATTCATGTCTTGTCGCTTAAATCACCATTTAAAATGTGCGCAAGATTTATTAAGACTTCTGGTAATATTCCAGTTGATGAATGCGAGAAGGGGGGATATTAATTGACAATTGTATGGCCTGAGTTCTCGCCCTGAGTTTCGACGTGTGTGAGTATACCCCAAAGCCCAGCGCCAACCTTTGGAAAACTATGTCTGTCGTCTGGGTATTTTGTGTTTTTCTAATGTCGTCCATTATACTTGATCTTTAAGTAAATCTAAATTGTTTTAAATGGTTTCCTTTAAGATATGGTCAGTTTGTACCATTCAGAGTATGATTGATTAAAATGTACTCGTTTTGTTGCCTAGAAGGTACGACCTCTTTCAGTGTAGAGCGTACACTCACCGGGTAAAATCTCGTCCAAAAAGTGACTCTTAGTGAAACCTCGCTTGAAACATGAAAAGAATAAAGAGGTCTGTGTATTGTTTGAAATCCTTGAGAAGTTATTTGTTATCGTTCACATTCTTGCAAAAATAATTGATTATTGTGGCATTCTTTGGACAATTTTCTATAACAAACATAAATTTTTTTCAAGAGAATCAAAATCTTTCTGCAATCTAATAAATCATGAAGAAACACATCGAAAAGTTTTCTTGTCACCAGTACATGTAATTTTCAAGGCAAACGATAGCACAGAGGAGAACTTGGAATACAGTCAAATATCTAGGATGTAATTTTCCATTTATCAATGATTTATACAGTTGAAGTTCAGAAGGATGCAATAGATAGTTACTTTTTCTCCTTCTGGCTTTTGTACAAACTTGAATAAATACATCTTTTCAAGAACGCTCTGGACAATTTGAAAATTGTTCTTCAGAGATGCTTATACGTTTTCTCACATATTTGCAGTTTATGTGTAAAGCAATTATTAAGAAACATATTAATATAAAGTAGTGCAAATATGGAGCTCGAGGTTGGTACATATTTGCATTCGATTTACTTATTTTCAATACTTCGAGAGGATAATGTGGGAAATAAGGTATTGGCTTTACCTGCCACCTGGCGGCATTCAAATATTCCTTATTGTGACGTTTACGCAAGAATTTAACCTATGTTTAAAAAACAAGTTGTTCTGTAAGTTTCTGCCAAGTATAAGTGCAAACATTATCTAGTTTTACAGGATCAGTAAATCTATTCAAGTTCTGATGAAAATGGGAATTTTTTTTATTGTCGAGATTTTTTAATCACAGATGCGAAGTGATATGTCGTGACGTCATGTTTTGGAGTGACTGCCCATCTGAGTAGTAATATACTAATATGAGGAATCAACGATAAGAAATCAAGACTGGAAGCCAATCTAGGCATTGACTGAAAAGTAAAAAGCCAGATGATCGAGCAATTTATCAATCATAGAAATGCAATGTAGAAGGAGAGAACCACTAAACACCAATAAACTACATCAACTGATAAAGTAATCATTTAAAACCGGATCTAATTGAACTATACTATAAAATGGTACTCAAAATTCCATGAAAACTGACAAATAAAAATACAATATAGTCGGTTTAAGTTGCATGTGTATAAGATCATACCCACTTTACTCAGTACATTGTCTTTCATTTCCAATCATAAATACTATTTATTTTAAGGATTCATGAAAAGATTTACATCATATCCACGGCATTTCCAATGCCACTTTAATTTAAGTGAATATACAGGGTGTTCCATATGTATTGCACCCCCTCTAAACGCATACATGTAGCATCGCCATCTCCATACTTTGATACATTGTATCTGTTTTCAAGGACAGCCCTAGATTTTGAAACTTTGCAATCGTATGTAACTTTCTATGAGGAACAAAATGATATATAGCATGATAGGGTGGCAATTTTAGAGGGGGTGCATACATATGAAACACCCTGTATGCAATATGGACTTTCATTCAAGCTGGCTACTTGTCCTGTTACGGACATGATATAAAAGACGCTCGTGGTTGGATTCCGTGCTCAATGTTTGAAATGGAGAAAAATAAAACATCTATAGATGGCGAACCGCAATAAACAACCAATTAAAATGTGACCTCATCCCAAAAAATCATTAATTTTGTTTACGAATGTCTTCCCGTGCATAAACACAATTTAACCGTAAAAAGAGAATTAATTAAATCATTCATTCATGAGACTTTTGTGAGCACATTAACATTACGTACGCTGGCGTACAAAAAATATACACCCTGTCCCTGATCCTGTGTTTAGATTCTTTTTTAATCAAAATGGTCAGGCTCAATAATAATTGAATGAAATCTAAATTAGTTTTAAGACCGAACAAAGCAAGACGAGAACAATAAATCCACGTTGGAGTTGTTCCTCAAAATGATGTTCCCATGTTTTCCAATTGGGAAGCACAGAAATATTTGAATTTATTTTGAAAAATTCGCTCTCGAATATGTGACCCCATATTTAATTCTCTTCCCCTTTTCATTAGTACTTGCAATTGCTTTTGAAAAGATCGATATTAAAATCAAAAGATCTCACCTTTTCCCGCCATGAATTCACAAAATTGTGAACAATTTTCACTCGAAATCAAAGTGAGGGGCAGTATGAGAAGTCAAATATTACAGTTTTTACCAAGGGTGAAAAAATCAATTGCACTGATTAAATTTCAATCTCCATTATCCCAATTCTGAATTTAGATTTTTTCGTTCAGTTCAACGCCATCTGTTGAGTTTTCTCTCTTTCTTTCTTTTGATTCTTGCCTTATTTTTAGAACCAAAATCGGAACCTGAAAACTTAAAAGAAGATCTATTTCACGAGGGGAAAGAGTACCCGTGTATATACAACCTACCGCCGAGCAAAGACCCGAAGATGTCTGAAAATGTAGGGGGTGAGTTATAAACTTTTGTTTATATCTTGAATTTCTCAATATGAGAAACAGATAAAACACAGAATTGTGTGTAACTGATAAAGTTATTGTTCCAGGCACTCATGTTTGCAAAATAATGAGTACTTAGCGCAATGTTTACTATCCAATCGCTAAATTCAACTTTTAAATATTTGAATGATGATTTACATCTTGAATAAGTAACAACCATGGCTGTCTTTACTTCATTCGATTCAAAGATACAATAGGTGTAAATGTATCATATTTATTTCACTGCCATACGTTGCATATCATTGAAATCACCGGTGAAAGTTGAAAATGAAAGACCCGATTATGTCACGAGTACGATTATATAGGACCCGAAGCTACCACCGAGCTATTCCGACTATACCATGAGTAGAACCCGATGAGGTAGTGAGTAAGCTTTCGAATGAGCATATAATATCATGACGATATCACAAATATTCCTTTTTATCCCACGATTAATGTGTTATCTGTACAATAACAGCTATTGATATTTCTGATATCATTGAAATTCGTGTGATATTTTCCAGAAAATCGTTTATCAAACTCATATGCGTGTGATATCGTTTATCTCACGCATATCCGTGTGATATCACATTTGCATTTCGCGCCACAATATTGTTGGAAATTAGGTCAGATAATTTATTCTCTTTTGAGAAAATAGGTCCGTTAATTTATTCTCTTTAAGTTTCATTGGTGTATTAAATTACGATTGTGTATATAATTTGATTAGAAGGCTGCTAAATAACGATTAAAAAATTGTATTTATGACGAACTATATCACAAGGTGATCGTAATCATGGGATAAACCCAATATCACATAATTTCTCGTGATATCATTTTATCGCCTCGTAGATATCAAATATCAACACTCATTCGCTTCGCTCACTCGTGTTGATATTTGATATCAACTCGGCGATAAAAATGATATCACTCAAAATGATGTGATATTCTGTATTTATTTATCATATACTCCTGGCATTGAATTCATGCTTACACTTGAATCACCATAATTTCCTATGTGTCTATGGTAAGAGTGCAACCCAAAAACATTTAATTCTGCATTGCAAGCGCCATTCTACTCAAAGAACACAACTTGAAGAATCCCAAGCTTCACAAGCTTCATATCCTCGAAACGAAAATTACCGTGATCTTTCTTTGATAATACAATTTACCATAGTCAAAAACATTGTAAATCCATTTTTTGCCATTTAACTCAGGCACATTAACTTTAATACTCAGTAATGGATGGTGCTGACTGAAGTGGACCACAAAGTCATCCATCTCGTGTGATTTACAACTACAGTGGAAGCATTTGTACCGAGGACCTGAAATACAATGTTTCGATGTGCAGTGGTAACTGGTGATAGCCATATTTTTTCAGTTTCATTTATTGTTCACAACAAAATGATTCACAAATGATGCAGATTGTATGTTTATTATTTTTTCATCAGCACGTCATAAACTCGACGATATAATCGGATCTCAACAGATTTTACTCAAGTAATGTTCGGATTCTGAGATCCTTTACTCAAGATATTTTCGGATCTTTATAATATTACTCGTCGATCACATCGGGTCTGATGTCCGATAACCTCGGATCTTTTAGGACAAAGTTTGCTGTTCAAAAGTGCTATTTTGACCTAATATTTTGACACTTAATATATTGTGCATATGTACATCCATTTACCGACCCAAGTATGTCTTATGTATG